CAGCGCTCGGCCGGGTAGTATTTAATTTTGATTTGATTTCATTTATCTTTGGTTTCATTTTATTTCTATTTTACATTTTACTTTCACTTGCTTTTATTTTAAAAAGAAAAATGCGAAATAAATTGAAATTGAAAAAAAAAAAAAAGAACAAAAATAATTCCTATAAATTTGAATATTTTCAATGGCGGTTCTCGGCCCCCATATACCAGTTCTCGAATTTGACTTCATTTTTTTTTTCCTTATTTTTTTCCACGTTCAATCAGAGTATATCAATGTCTGAGTGGTCAAACATCTTAGCCTGCGGAGATGCTGCCGGTGAAGTTGTAGCTGTCCATGTGTTACCCAAGAAAAAGAAAACCTTTACTAGATTTGTAAGAAGTAATAAATTTTATACGTATACTATCGATCTCCGCAAGGTAGCTGCTTTTTGCTATAGTAAGTCTGTAGCCCTAGTGATGTCATTGAAGTAGGTGATCGTTGAACGACATGATTTCACGCGAACAACTTACTTTAGTTACTTATTATCTAGTTATATTGCAATCGCTGGTCGTTTTTTATCCACATTTACTCTGGAAAACCGCATGGGGAAAAGTAACGTCACGAAAACATTGTGCGAACGATGTACGTTTTTGATGTGGGAAAACTCGACTAATTAAGTAAGCAATATTTTCTTGACACATGCATTCAAAAAGAACGTATTTTGTTTTGTGTCTCACACCTTTTGTGCTTAGTCATTGCTCGAATTTCTCAAACACATCCTCTCTAAAAAAATGGAAACTGTTTGGGTAAGGTAGCAAATAGAGAAGAAATAAAGGGGGGCTCGGTCCAAAAACTGTTGTTACTTTTGGGGGGCTGATCTGTTAAGTTTCGTTTTAGGCCGTCTACAGGGCGTTTTTGGAACAAATTGCTGGCAATACTTCATCTAGTGAACAAAATAAGGAAGACGTTTATCAGGGTGAACAGACAAACGCTGACTCATTTCGGAAAACTCAAACGGATGGTTGTTCTACCAGGAACAATGGTTCAAGTATTGACCGGACGATGAAAGAAATCAGTGCCTCTGCAGACGAATCTTCAACGAACGCGTCAACTTCGAAATCAGGCTCAGACGAGATGATGAAAACCACTAATAAGTCTGAGAAAACAGATAGTGACGCTGCCGGAAAAAAGGGAATACCCACTCCACCAAAGACTTTAGGAGAAGTGTTTGAGAAACACAGACTTGTGTTTTATGATGTTAATGCAGTAAGTTTCTTAATCGGAAAGTCGAACGATGGACTCCTATTGGGAACACTTAGAATCCTTTTTCTCCGAGTATGCCAGGGTCGTTCGCTAAATAGCATAATTTTTCACTTAAAAAAAAAAACACCAGGCTTTGAAATGAACCATATTCATTTACACCATCGTTGCGCAGAATCATCACATATCGACATTCCCATCCTCGCAGTATGTAGAACGTTTTTCAGTATAGACCTAGTTAAAGGCCTAGCCTACCACGAGTCTTTTATAGCTGAGTGATAGAGCGCCCGAACTACTTATCATACTTATCTGAGGGACGGTGGTTCGACTCTTATTGGGAACTCTCAGATCTTTTCTCCTATATTGAAATTGTCAGTCATTGAATAACATCATCTTTCGCTTATTAATCAGCTATGGGTGACTTTTTGTCTCTCCTTCTTTACTTAGTTATTTTCTTACCCATCTATCTATCAAGGTATTCATTTATTTTGTTTAAATGTCGATCCACTCACTTCTCTAAAAATAACGCAAGTGATACTTTTTTTTGTATCATCAGTAATAGGTAAAGTATTTTGCTATGATGATTTAGACGACATGATGCAAGTGTGTTTTTCTTCCACACTTCTAGTTGGAGTTTAAGGACAGAGTCAACAAATCAGATCCAGATTTCAAACGCCTTCTGTCTCCAAGCACCATGCAAACCATTCCGTATGATCAATTTGCCAATCCTCAAGCGATACAGAAGGTAGGAATATCCGTGACATATGTGAGTTGTAGTAAAATCTTGCTGTTATTCAAACTCATCACGAGAAGTTATCTTGATCTAATACCAGATTCTCGAAAGTGATTTAAAAGAAAACGTGTAGCAGCTAGTGGGGAGTATTAATAAGAAGATGTAGGGACAGAGTTACGGGATTAAGAAGTCGTTGAACTTTTTCACTGACTTCTTTTTCTTTTGCTACTTTCACCTTCTGGTTTGATTCATATGTCAACAATAGAGAGTTACGTGAAACCTGAACGGCAAGAGTGACCACGTGACCATGTTTTTCCCGCCATTTTTTCACGTCTGCCGGTTGCACTTTGCCGTTTCTACGTGAAAGTAACCTGTTTCGCGTTTGCCGTGTTCTCAAGATTCTCTTCACTTTTTCTCACGCAGAGTAGAAGTTAATTGCCGGAGAAAGGGCACCAAAACTATTCTTTGTAAGCCATACAAGATGGCGCCTTCAATTTCACCATGACGTAGGCTCATGCGAAGCTGAAGCAGCAAGGTTCACGGGAAACTTGAAAGGGCAAGCTGACGTTTGCCGTTTCATGTTAACGCGGTGCTAAATCTCAAATTTTTTTTCCTTTTTTTTAGGTCCGTTTTAATCCCAGTAAACAATCCTACATGTGGCTCGCCTCAGGTTCCGCCTCGGGTCTGGCAAGACTCCATTTAGTCAAGCAGGTCACCACGTGACATTGCACGCGTGGGCACGTGCTGGCTCCCTAGATTACATAGGATGCTGAGAGTTATGGAGATTTGACAAGGCAAAGTCTCACTTCAAATCGGCATCATGACCACGCTTATGATCATGTCAGAAATGCGCCAGGAGTTTTCCAGGAGACGATAAAGCTAAGAGACTTGATCCCCTTTCAGGCTTTATTCACTTGGCAATCTATCTCCAGTTATTCAGCTATATTTCACCCTCGTTTTCAGATCAGACAATTGTATTTTGCGAATTTTGCTCATGTAGACAGACAGCCCAAGTGGCGTCCATTCGTTCTCCTCACTCCTAATTTATTGGGACCTTAAGCAGTTGGGACGACGACGCTAATAAAAAGGTCGGTTTAAAAAATGAACTTGCATTTCTCATAAGATTGACGGGAGTGGCTCCATGTGTTTACCATTTCTAAGAGCGCTAGACCTCACCTTCCTCTGATAAAGGTATGAAACTTCACTTACAAACTTGATTAATTTGCCATCAGAGGCAAAGCAAACGTAGTGTTTTCACGTTGCTATTTTGAATCGAATGGTTAGGAGGTTAGGAAGTGAACAAATTATCAAAATGCACGTGCGGAGCTATATCTCTGCTTATTAAACCCCTGTTCTCTGAGTTCTCGTTGTCGTTGTTGTCTTGGTATGCTGAACATCCCTTCTTTAAGGAACGCGGAAGGTACATGTTGCATAAGTCCTGGGATAACTGATACCTTGAGTTAAAAAATAATCTAAGAAGAAATCCCCTTCTTTGGAATGAGGTGTGACGCACACAATCCTAGTTATTCATAAACAAACTGACATATTATTTAAGTCCAAGGCTGCACTTTTGGAACAATAATTGAACATCAGATGACTCTTGTGTCGGAAATCTAACGTACCATAACGAAACGCTCTCATTTAACTCTCTCAAAGATAACAGCGAGTCGCTGTAGCAGCTGGGCTCCCTCCCCCTCCCGCCACTCCTTTACCAGAGCACGGCTCTGACATCTGTAACCGCATTAGTTGGTAATTGCACATTTAAAGGAACCGGGATCCAGTTGTTTCTAGGGCGGATAACGCTTTCCCAAGGAAATCTACAGCGCTATCTCCGGTATAGAGATATCTCCAGTGGATAGCGTTATCGCACCCTCGAACGCCTGGGGCCTGGGGCCCGTTTCTCGAAAGTCTCGGTGTTACTGCCAAAAGGCGTGTCCTTTCGTGGCCGCTTACAGCAATGATTTCAAACGCTCGATCAGAGGAAGAGGTTTGAACTAATGAAGAACCAACAAAAATACAAGTTTACAAAAGCAAAAATGTAAAACTGAAGGGAGGCTAAAGCGAACGGGATGAACATAATAACTAGGAACTTACATTGTATCGGCGCTGTAGGCCGCGAAAAAAGGCAACTGAACCAGATGTTCTCTCGGTGAAATCATTTGCTGGACTCCTCCGGCCGCTGGAGACAGTATCCAAGACAAGTCACAAATTTGATGTTTAACGTGTTTAATAATCGCAAGATTCACAAGGTCTTCGCACAATCACGGTCAATCTAACTCTCTGTTCAATAGATTCGAATTAACAACTTAAAAGGGTGGGCAGGCTCCCAATAATAAGCACGTGCTTCCGTTGTCACGGGTTACATAATTACGTAATATGTGCCCCAGT